CGTGAGTTAGGAGCATTGTGGACTTATCCATAGGGGAGTCATGCAGGAGCTGAGCTGTTCTTTATCTCAAGTAAATGGCATGAGGTCAATGATAAAGAAAAGAATCGAATATGGAAAGTAAAAAATCCCTTATTACTTCTGACAAATTGTGCTGTGCTAAAAGTGAAAATGTCTATGGCAGCAGCTATATTGGCCCCTTCAAAGTTGGTAAGCTCTTGAGCCTAGTTATTAATAGATATATTCACTCTACATTATGGACTGAAGGGGCTGAAAACAAAGTCAAAGTACTGAGATGTTTTTGTGTTTTTAGGACAGTGTGTGAAAAGTGACATTGATTAATCTTCATGTCCTTTGACATGAGACGTCGCTACATGTCAGATGGCTGTAACCATTACAAAAGGGCAAAGGCACAGCATGTTTCTGTGGAGGACAATTTTATCAGAAAATGACACTGGTGTTGGCAAGCCCTAGGGTGAAATAAGGAGCTCTTCAGAGCATCTTGGCTTTTGCTGAAGGTTTGAATGTTTGCAAGCATAGAAGTGCTGAAACCACAAGTGTATTTTATGTCATGTTGGGTGACAGTGGCTCGCCAGGGAGTGAAGGATCAGATGGAAAATGCCAGTTTGCCATAGAACAGCCAGAGAGAATGTGAATGATTTTTAACATGCACGAGAAGTTGCTGAGTTGTATCTTCCAGAAATCCATGGGAAAGATGGAACACACAAGCCAATGTACTGAAAGTGCCATAAAGAAATATATTGCTGCCCTTAAAAGAAAATATGAAATGAAATGCCTTTATTGCGTAATGCTAACAAAGTGGCATTGAGCTGGCTTTTCCATTCAGATACGGTGTCCAAAACAAGTAAAGGCTGTGACAGGTTGATAGTAATTTACACATTACAACCACCCTGTTTTGCACTGAGGGTAGAGGGGAGGGACCATGGCTGCTGGCCTCAGCATGTATAGGATGGCACTTGCTATAGGACATGCATGCTGTCACATAGAAGTTATCTTCCTGGACTGATATTTGCTGCCAAGTGACCTCTGTCTAGTGTTGGATGAAGAGGGAGCATTATTCAGCCATGGTGAGCTTTGGCTGGCGATCTGAGCTGTGTTATCACAGATGAGGCTTTTAGCCTGAGTTGTAGCCGTTGCTAGTCCTTGTCAATGACTCTGTAGTTAGAAAGGCTATATACAGCTGATTCTGTTCCGGCAGTTCTTCAGCGTGTGTTTGCACATACACACATAATAACAACATCAACAATGTCTTTCTGTGCCCTTCATATCTGGTTCTTACAAGTACAAAAGATGAAATTACATTTTTTGTATATACTTCCTGCTGGCTTCAGGCTGATGAGATACCATCAGTTTTAGTGGAAAAGACAACCAGTGGGATTTTTTGCCTCAAAATAGTTTTCTTCTCCATCTGATAATGAAAGGAATAATATGTTCTTTGATATTTGGTTGGCAAACTTGGAAATTGGAAAGGAAGATGGTTGTACTGTAATAGCTTTACTCTAATGATGTGTGTGGTCAGTGGTTTCTGGGCATTTAAATAAAGGTGGGTGTGCTGTGGGGTGTGTTAAGGTAGGAGCCAAAATGCAGGGAGCATCAGTTACAGGAATAGCCTTGTAACTGAGAGCTCAGAGAAAAGTGCCCTATAAATCCATCTTTTACCAGTACTGTCTCTGCAATTACACAAATGTTACTAATTACTAAATTGGCCAGCGTCAATGGGTTACTATGTAATGGGTAAAGTCAAGATTATAGTTAATCATGAAGAAAACATTGTTCTTAACAGGATGCTGCCTTTTTTGTGTCAAATATTAGAGGTGTCTTGTCAGCCCCTATTTCCCTATTCTGTATTTAGCAGGGGACCGTAAAGCGATGAAATGTTAGACATCTGTCATCACTAAGAACTTCACTTTTGTGAAATGCTTGTATCTCAACTAGGAAAAAAAAGGTCATTTGTTTAAAAAAAAAACAAACCCAAAATGACATTACTAGGTGTTAATGTTTTTGTGTAAGACGCAGTACAAGAGAGACTCTAAACCAAAGGTTTTTTATATTTTCTCTTTCCTGTGAACTCCTTCTTATAATGTCTAAGCATTTTATAAATATTTATGAATGTATCATCAAAGGAAAATGAAATTTATATAATGGAGTTGCAAAGTGGTGTTAAAGAAAGCAACTTTCCAATGGTTCCAACATAGTTATATTTTGACAGAACTGGGACAGTAAATCAGACCATTACATCCCATTTTGGTGAACAAGCCATAGTCCCATCTTTCTTGCTTGTTACTTTTGCCTTTGCTGCTTTTCTTCATAAAATAGAAATACCTTATTTTTAAGGAAATACTTTTTTTTTTTTTTAACTTCACATTTAGGCTGGCCACGCACAGATTGGTGGCCATCAGGGGGTTGCAGTTAGTGGCAGAGAAGGAACAGAGAAAACATTAAACTCAGTTTGCACTCCTGTGTGAACAACTAGCTTGCCTGCTCCTCAGCTGCCAGAGGTGTCCCGAGCATCACTCGGGAGTCACCCGTGCTGAGAAGCTGATGCTTTGTTTGCTGGGGGGTGAACTCGCAGCAGTGAGCTGAGCAGTGCTAACTGCCTGGGAAGACCCAGGGTAGTGCTTCCTCAGTAGGATGTAGCTGCCTTTGCTTTCCTCTCCTCTCCCATTCCTCACACTGTTATTGCAGGGCAGCTCACGTGCTGTCAACAGCTTCCTCTTACACACAAACCTGTAATGAAACAATTCCCTACATTTACTGTTGTGCACTAACAAGAGGTGCTTATTTCTGCATGCTGCGATTAATACTGGTCTTCTACGAACAGTGGCTGAGGGGACAAAATGTTGCAGTGGTGGCAGCATCTCTTCAGTGGCTGGGGCAACTGTATTTGGGCAGTGACAAAGTGCATGAGCAAAAGGCTAATTCCCTGTTCCTCAGGGTTTAAAGGCTGTGTGCAGATCTCTTTGAAGTCAGTGAACGACTTCTGTTACTGCAGTCGGCTATAAATCTAACCCCAAATGCTCATGTAATTTACAGTGTGTGTTAGTCTTTTGTTAGCTGGCTTGTGAATATGAAATGGGGGTGAGCTAAGCTTTGGAGAATATATTGAATGTGCAGATTTGCACACTGATCTTGGTATTTTCAAATCAATATGACTTTGGGTGTATGTCAAAATACCCCACAGTCTGTTGAAAACACATTCCTCTTTGGTCTTGTATGTGCTGTTTGTACGTATTTAGTTGGCCCTGTGAGCTCTGAGGTTTTCTTTTAAGTTACTCTACAGTACTTTAGGGAACTCAACTCTCATCACTAATAAAATAAAGCGAAACAGTGGTAGGTCTTGCCTTGTGAACAACTGTTCTAGCTGTTGTGTTTCCCACCGTTCAAAAAATATAAAGCTTTATAAGATATAGCGTATTCCCAGTGCAAAGAATGAATATTTATAGGCAAAGAATAACACTGCCCGTATTGAAATGTCAGTGCGATAAAACTGCTTTTTTGGCAGGCACAATTAAGCCACACAGACTTTCAATAATGTTTTGTAAGCTTTTTCTTTAATTATGCTTAATTTTGGTCTCTGAGTTTAACAAAACCTATGAAGCTTGCAGCAAAATACTTTTATTATAAAAAATTTTGTTTTATGGAATACAAATCCTGTATTCCATGTGGATATGATTTTTTTAAATGTGTTTAAATATGGAAATTTCTTTTTTGCTGTTGCATTTATTAAAGCATATACAAAATAAAAATAGCTGATACCATATGCTTAATACAGAATTTTGAAGAAATTAGTTTGGAAAGTGCATGTGACTATTCCTTTTTTTTTATCCAAGCACCTTCAGTAAAATGCACATGAAGTTATAAGACATCAAGCCAGAAGCATGAGATTCCGTCTCAAGCAGTTACTGCTGCAAGAGACAAATAAGGAGCAATTTTGCTTACACATAGTTGCTCTTAAATGCATCATTCTGATAACAGCAATATCTGCATAATTGTATTTATGTGGCATTGATCTCTCTTTTCTACAGAAAATCTGTTTTTCCAGATAAAATATTCTTCCATTCAGCTGTAAGTGGGAGAAAGCCTCTTTAGCAGCTGCACAGATTCATGGGAATGTTTCTGCACAGGCTTGATACAGAATTTTGATATGGACTTCTGAGTGAATTTGATTTTTGGTGAACAAAATAAAGTAAGAGCACTAAAACCACGTTGCTTTACTGTGCAGGTTAGATAACAGGGTATTTGCTCAAAACAGTTAGACAGAAAACCCCAGAGATGATATGATTAAACTAAGGTAAATTTATTAACAGATTTTTCTAACAGCGTATTTTCTTAAATTGATGTAATAATATCTCAGCCCTGCTCAAATATAGAGTTTTGAACAGCTTTGAGCTATCCCTGTCTTAATATTTAAGTAGAAACAGCAGAAGAGCTGGATAAACAAGATCATTTTGGAAAAAAACATTCAAACAGTTTAAAATCCTCTGCCATGGCCATGCTTTTCTGGCCCCCCGCAGCCTTGCATTATCAAACTGAGAATGTCTCAGTCTCCCTGGTATTAATGTTTGAAATAAGATACAAATAAATCATCTGAATAAAGTAGAAAGAAAAAAAAAGTGGTTGGTATTGCAGCTGCCTGGGGCCTGCTCCACTGGCCCTTAGACTCCTAATACGAGCTTAGAGGTGCAGTTATGGGCTCTAAAGCTGGGCTTTGCCTGGGAGAGAGTGAAATCCCTTGGAACTCAAGAGACTGAACGTTATTAGTATCCAGGCTTGAAAGATGAAGTCAGCATCTGGAAAAGAAAGTATCTGCAAAGCAGTTTGAAAACTGTTTTCTGGAAGATGATGGAGGAAACTGGGGAGGTTGCTGGGGTGGTGGGATAAGGTGGTGCTTTCTTCCAGATAAAGTTCAGTTCCCTGGGCTAGCAGGAAGTAATGCTGGAGTCTGCTGTCTGTGTTTCACTTGTCTTTGCTCTTCTTTGCAGGTTACATATTTGGGTAAGGTTTCCACAACAGGGATGCAATTTTTGTCAGGCTGCACAGAGAAACCGGTCATTGAATTATGGAAGAAGCACACGCTTGCTAGGGAGGATATTTACCCAGCTAATGCCCTTCTGGAAATTCGCCCTTTCCAAGTCTGGCTGCATCATCTGGACCTCAAAGGTGAGGCAACAGTCCACATGGATACCTTTCAGGTAGCACGTATAGCCTACTGCACTGCTGACCACAACATCAGCCCAAACATCTTTGCTTGGGTCTATCGGGAGATCAACGATGACTTGTCCTACCAGATGGACTGCCATGCTGTAGAGTGTGAGAGCAAGCTGGAGGCTAAGAAGCTGGCCCATGCCATGATGGAGGCCTTTAAGAAAACTTTTCACAGCATGAAAAGCGATGGTCGGATCCACAGGAACAGCTCGTCAGAGGAAGTGTCTCATGAATTTGAGTCTGATGATGGCTGACTGAACTCAATCATGGTTCAGCAAAGGCAGAAATGGCCCAGGGAATGAGAGCTGATAGATGAATAAGTAACAATTGAAACTGGGGAAGGAAAGGACTGCCAAACAGTTCTCTGACCAGCTTTTTAAATCGAAAGAGCAATTCAGTACCTACAGATACGCATCATTAAAGTAATCACATTGAAATCTGCTGCTGTTGTAAAAGTGAGGAAAAAAAAGCTCCCTCCCCCATTTCTCTCACCCACCCATCACTGTCCCTTTCTCATCTCTGTAGTTCAGGTGCATACCATGAAGTGGAGTCATTCCTGTTTGTTTTATAAGGCTGGTCAGGCAATTTTATTAGTTGCTCCCCTGGCATTACAAGCTGGGGTCTGATGCTGATGCACAAGAGCAAGTAGACCTGGAAAGCCCTAATGGCTCCTGAAGAATCTTTCTCCATGATGCATCACAAAAATTCTTTGACCGTACGTAAGCTAAAACAGCCATACATAGCCTTTTAGACTAATGATCTGGCATTCTGCATTTAATTCACATTTCACAGATAAAAGTCAATGCTTTTATGTACTCATTATACCATATGCTATCCTTTATTTTATTCATTGTACCTATTTTCTTAATATACCTGCTGCCACATCTTTCACCCAACACCAGTAGTTGCAGTTTCAGACTATATACTGCAGGATACCAAAAAGGGGTGGGCAAAAATACTCCATGGCGTATAGGGGTGCAGCGAGCAAGCACCATTATCTGTTCATTTTCCAACCCTGCTATGTTCTGCAGGATGGGGGACCACCGGTAGGAGCTGAGAGACGCTTGGGTCTGTCAGTGTTTGAACTTTGACTTCTCATCAACCTCAGGTCTGAAGTGATACGAGCACAGTAGACTCAACTCCATGTTACTGGTCTCTGCATTGCTGGTTGAGTGGCCCTGGTGGAATGGAGCTGGTAATGCTTCGCTGCACATACAGGGCTGTGTTACTGTAGAGATCAAAAGAAATGGTCCCTTAGGGCTCATGTTTGAACATCAGTTCTGGTTGAGAAGCTCATGTTAAGACTCCCGTATCTTTCCTTGTTTGCAGATATACAGTCATGTCTTTCTTAAATGCAGATGTTTAATAAAACTCAAATAAAAGGAAAAACTTGTTTCACTTGATATTTTTAAGGCCAAGAGCAGATCAATAGTTTGCAGGTAATGCTGCTCCTTTGTATGATTTTGTTTGTAATTATGGTAATGTTAGGGGCACTAGGACACCTTACAGAAGCCTTAAGAAGAAGCTAATCAAAGCAGATAGGTCTATGTTTGTGTTTTTGTGGGTCTGTAGGTTTGTATGTGAGAGTGTATGTGTGAGTCCATGTTAAAGCATGTAGATTGAGCATGAAAACGTTGAAGGCCCACACATCTTGGAAAATATGCTTGTTGCTTTACAATGTATGTAAACGGTTCTCCAGCATAAATACATTCATACTTTAATAAAAAAGAAAATGTCCTGAGTTAAAGTTTGAGATTTTTAAACTGTCTTTCCAATGCAAGCTCTGTGGTTTTGGGTTTTGTGCATGGGTTCTGTGTTCATTTCATTTAGTGGAATGAAAATGTTACTTTATTCCATTTAGTCTGACATCAGTCTCCATGAGAATTACCTTTAAAATTTTTAAAATTATTTTCTTTTAAATATTTAAGGAAATTATTACTGTGAGATTATTTTTTTTAAAAAAAACTTGGCTGTGTGTGGACATGATTTATAATTTCTATTTTATAGGAGGTGGCAGAGATGCCACCCCATGCACATGCCTGGCCAGCTGCAATGAGCTCTGCTGAGTAGGAGCAGTATCTTGTCCTGCTTACAAGAATGGCAGAGTGGCTCAGGTGCAGCATTAGATGGTGGGATGGGGAATGAAACACCAGGCCAACATCTTTCAGAACTGCTTCTCACTGAGTCTTTGGATGACCCAGTGTTTGTAAATATGGCTCTAAAAATGTTTTAGTTTTTCTTCCCACAATGCTCATTTGGAAGTGGAGGGTCATCTATGGGCTTATATGCTGGTCAGAAAAAAAAACAACAAACCAGAGTCCTGCCATGTATGTATCTGTCTTTTTGACCTAAGGCAAAATCAGGCAAAACCTCCAACTTCTGCTCAGACCTGTAATCATGTGTTGCTTCACTTGCTCGAATGCTTTGCCACCAAAGCTGCTGTGAAACAGCGTGTGAAATTCCTGTATCAACTCAGCCAGATGTTCCTGCTGACGATAGAGAGTTTGACCCTGTCCCAGCTCTTAACTGAGGGCTGGCCAACTGTGGGAATGGGAGAAGGAAGATAGCAGCAGTGGAGATGCCTCCTGCCTGCCCTACAGAGGACTACGGTGGATGATTTGGGTTTGGGATTTCTACTTCTGCAGCAAATATGTAGATGTGTGGGGTGTGTTCTTGCCATGGGGGTGGGTGTGATCCTTCTGACTGACACAGCCTGCCCTCTCACCAAGCACCAAGTTCCAGCCAGAGCACAACTGGACAGAAATGTTGGTATTTCATTTTTAACCATGTTCTTTCCTCTAACATGCTGGGATCTACTGAAAATATCCTATCCCCCTAAGTCTCCTGAAGGTGTGAGTGATGCATAGAACACCTTTGTTGGGGGTTTAGTTGTTATTTATGTTTGTTTAAGGACAGTGGAAATTTCTGTGAGTAGTGCTGGCTTTATTTGGAAGCAACACAGAGAAAGCATAAACAGAAATGCAAAGTTTTGCTCCAGTGTGCTTTTACTCTATATCCTGAAATGGTGACTTGCTGCTCCCCTTGTCATGTCTGTGACTGGCAGCATCTGTGCTGTGGCAGTTCTCCCTGCTGTAGCCCATAGCCACATGGCATTACCCAAAACAGGAATAATCTGGGAGTGTGATTTTTAAGCTGCTTTTTCTGCCGGTCATTGTCTACGGTGATGCTCCATCTTGGGGCATGATGTCATGTTTTAACGTAAGCAGTACCACGGTGCCCTTGCTCAGTGATGGGGATGCAGGTTACACAGCTGTGTTTTTGGACTGTTGTATTTCATGGCTTGGTGTCAGAGAAATCAATGCTTTTGGGAGCACAGGGCTTACCTGTTTGCTAGTTGCCTGTGTGCGTTTGGAAATCTGTTCCTAGGTGCTGATTAGCACTCTGAAGAGACTGTTATGCAAGGTTGCTGCTATGTGTGTGCAGCCCTTGCTGACCTTGCACTGATTTACAGTGGGTTGGGGAGTTCTTGCAAAGATATCTTAATATTGTGGCATCTGCAATAATTCCTCATCATTTGGAGGATATGGATTACATGGGAATTTTAAATGATAAAAATAAAATACAGAGGAAAAAATTCTAGTCTTTGTGATTAGAAAATCAGACCCTTTGAAACATGAACTAGTTATTTTCTAAGGGTTCCAACATGCAAGGGAATGTGAACTTCAGTTTGTCTTATAAAACATGAGATTTGAAAAATAATCAGTATCATGAGTTTGAATCCTTAGATAATTTGGAGTTCAGGCCAAATCCTTGTGCAGTATCAATACCAAATGTGTGATGCCATTTGCATGAGGAAGAAAATCTTTTAAATCGAGAGCATATCAGTTATCACTGATTATCAGTTGCCAAAAAATACCAGAATGAGATATCAAGTTAAACTTTTCCTTCAATTAATCTCTTGGAAAAGAAAAATCATAAAGTTTCCATCAGAAGTCACTTCCAGTTGGCTGAAAACTTTCCTTTTCAACTACAAAGAGACCAGTTTTGGATCTCACTGCATCCCGCTGTGGCTTGATGAGTTCTTTTGGCATCAGCCAGGAAAACACGTAAGGGATTTATTTCCCTCTTCTGTTTATAGGGGAGAGTGAAAAAAGGGTAAAATATCCAAGTGTGCTATTATAACTGCAGAAAAAAATATAGAATAGGTCATTGCACCTCAACATCAGTGTGCAACCTCACTGGTGTTTTGAAAAGGCAATTTTCATATTTTTTCTAGAAACCTTAAGAAAAAAGCAAGTGTTATTCTGTATAGAGGAAGTGTGTTCAGTTTTCAAGCTCTGAAGTCTAAATGTCTTCTGCTCACACCAAGTCTTCCATGGAGCTGTGAGCGAATGATTGTAGCTCAGAAGCAGTTGTGTTATGGGGACAACACCACACCACATTGGCAAGCACAGGTTTAGCACATTGCTCAGCACATTGCTTAGATGCGTATGGTGTTATTTTGCCTGTGGGGAAAGAGAAAAGCAGAGAGTAATGTCTTTCATGTTTTAAATAAAAAGGCCCCTAAGAACAGCTTAATTTTTTGTTGCTGTTGCTTGCTTAAAAAAAAAACACCCAAAGCACAGCCAAACAAAAATGTCTCTGCAGCTGGTTCCACTTCCTAACTTTCCAGTAGTGAGTGGCTTCATTTTTACACAAAAAAGCAGTTGGATTTGCCAGCGAATTGCATTTAATTTTCCTAAAACCTGCAAATAAATGGCATGCGATTGAGAAGATAGAGAGGCAACCCTGTATTAGTCTCTTATAAGACTTGACATACATACGTTATTTGTGGAAGCCTTTAGACTTCAATATCCTTATATTCATAGTGAATTTTGTTTGAATTGTAAGGTTCTGTGTGTGTCTGTATACACGTATGTATGCATATATATGCATACGCTTGTACACACACATCTTGAAATGTGATGCTTGATAATAAGTATTTTCTGTATGATGGACATCTGTAATGGTAGGTGTATGTGTGAAGGCAATCTTGCATGTTACTGTTGAGATAAATGATGTACTTCTGAAAAAGTTTTTTCTTTCATGGGAAGCAAATTAACTTGACTATCTACCTACAAAATTTGATATACTATATGCATTACCTACCATTTACCACCAGAGCTGGCCCACTCCATGCCCAATTAGCTTCTCTAAGAATGATGTATGAATTGGCTTATTTTTCCCTGTGGCAGTGAATCATTAATTTGTTTATAATTGGGAAGTGATAACTTAATTGTATGGTTGTTATCCTGTAGACTGGAGCGTACAGTCTGCCAAGAGTTTACAATAAGAGAATATATCCTTGTATGAAAATAGAGACGTTCATTCTACCTTTTTTTTCCAACATAATTTTGAACAGATACAGGGTGTTTTTTTTAAAGTTCCTGTTTTGTTAAAGTCCCTTAAAATGCTTCATTCGTTTCATTGTACAACTGATCATCATTGGCTGCTTTTGCCTTTTGTCCCAAGGCTTTTTTATCTCCATGACAGAGCTACCCTGGCTCTGGGGCCAGGCTGGAGGAAAGCTGGGGGTTGTCCCCGCCCATCCCACCCCAGCAGGGCAGGTGAGCCAGATGTTTGTGTCCCTGTCACTGCAGCCACAGGGAGTCTGTGTGCTGTGCCAGGGGCACGGTGCTTGCAGGGGGCTGGGCTGTGACAGAGGAGTTGCTGGGTAGGTGCAGGAGGCTGTGAGAAAGTTGGGTTGAATTTTTATAGCTAAGTTGCACAGGTTAATCTGTGTTAATTTCTTGTGCTATGACAATTTCTTCAGTTGGGATTGAAATTAATTTTGATCAGGGCTGTTAAAGCAGATGCAATGAAAATAGTTGCGTGTTGGAGAGATGTTATCCTGTCTTCAGCAGTGCCTTCCCTGGAAAAGATTGTGAAATATGTTGGAAGCACAGACATGATGCATGTGCTAATCATGTGCTACAAATGGGGTGAAAGCTGCAGGCTGTTAAAGCTGTGTGGAGGGGTGGAAGGGCACAGCAAGGCAAGTATTGTGTGTATGGGATGATGGAAATGGCTAGGCTGAGATTTTTTCTGAGAATGAACTGGATATGTGAAAACCTGGGAGTTAATTGTTCTCCAAAGGGCTTCTGCAAGCTGTTCAGTGAAAGTTCAGTGAAGACTGAAGAGTGAGGATAGGCTGTTGGAGAGCTTTCTGTCAGGATAGTTGCATGATAGGAAAGTCTTCAAAGGAATGAATAAATATGATGTTCTCAGCTTCCATGGTGGTGACAGGGTTTGGGATTCTCTGGTATGGCCAGTGCCTGGAGGTAGTTGGGTTTGTGTGGGCTGGGCTCCTGCCCAGTGCCAGGACTTCATGGGATATATGCAGCAGCATCAAGTTGCTGTGTTCTGGTGGGGCGTGCTCATGGCACAGTGATTGGTGGGCTTCTCATGTGGCACTGTGTCTGTTCTCCTTTTCCATCGGTTGGTTGATTTCAAATAGTTACATACCTGATTTACCCTACTGAAAGAGTGAGGAGCTTCAAATCCTGTATCACAGCAAGAGGTATAAGTTGCAGCAAACACTATTCAGAAAAACTGGAAGTGATAAAGTGGGTTTCTAGTGCACAGCTGAAGAAGCGTTAAAGATACTTGAAGTAACTGCCTATCTACTGAGCATGTAAGATATTCCTAATGCTCTACTAACAGCCTAAGGAGACAAAGTCTAAGCCTGATACAGGAACATTTTGCAATAGGTCATGTAGGCAGCATGCATGATTTCCAATTACTGCT